GTAAACATTCTACTGCACAACAACTTACACCCGAGGATTAGACTGCCTGCCACTACCCACACAGTTGATGTTGCAGTGATGTCGACATTTAAGGCGTCAATGACGCTTTTGAATACTAAAGGGACTTGGACGTTGAGAATCTGAGATATTACTTGAGTACTTGATATCAATGAAGTGTTTAGACATACCTTGCCACCAATGAGAAGGCCAAATCCTAATAACACTGTTCCTCGGGTCTTCCAATCGTTCTTTGGCCACACGTTGACCAAAAGTCGTTTCACAATATTCAAATCTGTCTTCCGCTGCTCCTTTGCGGTTGGAATATCGGACTTGGCTTCTCCTGCTCCCTGTGCAGGAGATTTAGGCGATGGAGCGGGTTCATCAGGTTTGCGAGCGAGACTTTGAAAGGCCCGACGCGGCGTGAAAATTGGAGATGAAGATGTGTGTCGGTATCTATAGGCGCATGGCACTGTTTGCACATGCACCTCTCCAGCTGCCCACCTAGATAGGTGAAGTCTATGGGGATTCCAGCGTGAACATGAAGCAATCTGGTTCTCGGTTTGTGCCAAGACGCGCACAGCCCGTCTCAGCATTTTTATACTGGCTCCCACAGGACTTTGGGACAGCAACCGGGCAGAAATGGAGAGAGTGGTGGTAGTCGTCTGCTGCCGGGTAACAGGTTGTTCAGTAAATGGCGCAATCTTTATTGCATCTTATCTGATAATGCTCCGGATCATGTGCCCATTCCAAGTGCACTGCCACCCATTGACGATGGCTTCAAACCGTCCTGGTCCTCGTCGAGGCGCACCACCAACTCAGCTTGCGCCACAGCCAAAAACCACAATCTCCGTCGAAGAATGGGAGGCAAAGGCTCCTCTGAGCGACATCGCAGTGCGGGGTATTGCTCAAATCAAGCTGGGTAGCGAGCACATTCCCCTCCCTTCAAAAGTGGGTTAATCTTATTATTTGCTGCGTCGATGACGCGTGAATGATTCATTGCAGTTTGGCTCTGATGAACCAGGACCTTCACGACCATCGACGCCGCTAGCTATTCAGCGGAATAAAGCTGCACCAGGTTCATCGCGTCCAAGTACTCCCCTCTCTGGTTCAACGCGTTCAACAACACATGCCCTGCATCCAAAACAGCCCATACAAACTCCCCAACAGTTCTATGACTGGTTTGCACTGATTGACAGGTCTGTTGCACATAGTCAAGAAGCTCATATCCGCACACATATTGCCAACGTCACTGAACATCTGGACGCGTGCGACGCACTTGTGGAAAAGATTGATTTGGTGGATCAGGAGGTGGTACGCATGCTGGAAGGCTGGAGAGGTGTTGAAGAGGGCGGGAAGAGCCTTAAGGATGCGTGTGAGAAGCTTCTGCAAGAACGGGTACATGGTCTCCGAGTTTCTTTGCTTGCTAGCTCCTTATATGTCACACAGGATAAACTTCTCGAGGTCACGGAAGAAATTGAACTGCGTTTGGACTATTTCCAAGAACTGGAGCATGCGACTAGGATGCTGAACCACCCTGGAGAATCCCTCGTTCTTCAAACCGATTTCTTGTATATGGTTGAACGCGTTGACATTTGTATAGACTATTTAAAATCTCATGTCAGCATCTATCATTTACTGTTAGTGATGGCTCGCTCATCTAACAACGCTTTATCACAGCGGCATTTTAGAGAAGCAGACATATATCTTTTCCGGTTCCAGCAATGCATGACGAGGGCAATGACGCTTATCAAGATGTATTTTGTTGGATCCTTACGTGCACTTTCTGTCGACGTCTCCAAGCGCCTGAACGAAAAGGTGAAAGACCTTCCTGATATCCCATTCGCTACCACGCCCGCTTACGAATGGATTGCATATAGGACGTATCATCTACTGCGCAAATGCATCTTCTCTACACCCGCTTTAGGACAGTGTCTTCTCAACTCCTACCGCTCTTGAGTGAACTAGAACGCCGTGCTCGGTCGCATCCACAAGAACTTTCTGCACTTTTGGATGAATGCCATGTAGCGTACTTCTCTGCGAGAAAGTCTCTTCTTGTTGGAAGGATAACGGAGGAAATCAAGGGACTTGACCCGTCACGGACGGAGTTGGTCGAATTGGTTCGTTGGTAAACATTTGTTTACTGATTCTGAGTATCTCATTATCGTGCTTTAGACCCGAGCAGGGTGCAGCTACCTCAAGCAATTGTGTACAGACGAGTTTGAGCTCTACTCCAACTTCTTTACGTCGGGAGAGGAACAACTATAGTGCGTCTACACCATTTTTGACCGTTAGATAGTGCCGTTGACAGTCTTACAACAGCCAATATTTGGAGAACCTCTGCGACCATCTATACGACGACCTGCGCCCACGAATCCTTCACGAGCCGCGGCTGACTGCCCTTTGTGAGGTCTGCACGGTTCTGCAAGCTCTCATGGTACTTGATATCTCCTCTGTTCACGACGAGGACGAGGACGAAGCGAGGACGCCTGACGGCAAAGACGACGAGGAGCTTACGGTCGACCTTGATGCGGGGAGTGCTCACAAGGTGCACGGTCTCGGAAAACTTCATATCAGCCACTTGCTGCAGATGGTCTTGCAAGACGCGCAGACGAGGCTTTTCTTCAAGGCGCAGTCTGTTATACAGTCGGATATTAGGTACTATGCACCACGCTCAGAGGATTTGGCTTATCCGGATATCCTCGTTAGTAAGTACATTTGACAAGTGAGTTTGGCGATAATAACTGACTGGGTTTGCTTATTGCTTAGATGCGGACAAGCCTGCGATGGGCTCAGCGGTGCAGGAGAAGCCTAGCGTCAGCGAATTGTTTCGGTTACCGTCTATCGAGAAGCAGGATACGTGGTATCCTACTCTGCGTAAAACTGTCTGGGTGCTTTCACAGTTACATGATTTCGTCAAGGTGATAATACTAAATCCTCATGTTTGTTCACCTTCGCCTCGAACTTACGACGTCTTCTTTATATAGCCTGTTATTTTCGAAGACATTGCGCAAGAAGCTATCAGCTTGTGTCGTCAATCCCTCGTTGCAGCTGCGGAACTGATTCGCGTCAAAGCTCCGCTGGACTCTCAACTGTTTTTGGCAAGGCATTTGTTGCTTCTGAAAGAGGTTACGCAGAGTCTGGATTTGGCGCAGCGTGAGGAGGGGAGTAGCAGTGGTGGTGGTGGTGGTGGTGGTAGTGGGAAGGATTATATGGGAATGACAGGTAAATGATCGCTTCTCTCCGTGAAATGGAATGGGATGCTTACAGCCAATTTCAAAAAGATGCCTTGGCTTCTATGTTGACTAGAACGACTTCTCTCCTCCCAGATGCCCTGTTTGCTTCCCTTGGTATGCCGCGCACGGAGGACAGCATTCAGGATGCTAAACATGTACGTTTATGTTCTTGAGAAGTGGGGCTATGCTCTAAATCGCATCACTTACACAGGGAATTGACCACGAGCTTCGCCGTGCGTGCGAAGCCATCATTAACCTCTGCACAGAGTCCATCACCCAACCGTTGCACGAATGGGCAATATCTCCGACGCCTGGTGAAGGGTCCGCTCAGGGCGCTAAGCCTTCAGTCCGCGAGGTAGTCACGTCCTTTGAGCGGGCGTGTACGACGGACCTTCGTGCGCATGTGGGGCGATTGAGATTGTACATGGAGGATTCTAGGACGGTGACGGCGCGTGTCCTGCTGGATCATGTGAGGGAACGTGTAGGAGATGCGTATGAGACGTTCTGGACAGCGGCGGTGAAGTTGAGAAGTGGGGAAGGGGAAGGGGAAGGGGAGGAGGTTCTGAGTGTTCCTGTCGTTAGGACGATGTTAGTTGATGTGTGTAATGCGTGACTTTGAAGGCGGCGAAGCTGGAGTTGGTTCTGTGGATTTTTTATTGGTGGAACGGGGCGAGTAATCCAGTATTGTAAAAAAATTGGCACAGCGGTTAGGTGCTAAACAAGGTAAGCCGATGCTCTGCTCCGGTACTCAAGCGGCGTGAACATTGAATTCCTAGATTGAGTCCTATAAGATGCCACTCTTATTTATACAGCTTTTTTGCACATTCGTATGGGATCTTTTCATCAGGATGGCATCTTGAGCTAAGGAAAACGCGAGCTGCAGCAGTTTGGTTGTAGCCAGGCTGCTCTACATTTTGTGACCCAGTGATCACTCATTACATCTTCTGAGCGTGCTTCGCGTACAGTACTAGCCTGTGCTTGCTGCAGTCTTGACAATATTTCATATTTTCCACTGACTTTCACGCATGCTAGCTGACAGACTTTGCTCCACCCCGTCGGCTGAACAAAATACAAAACTCTATTAGCCTCCTCGCCCACTAATTATATCTTAATAACATGAGGAACGATTGGAGGTCAGGCACTATGATGTTGCCCACGCAGCTCAATGCTCGCGGTGCGCTTTGCAACAGCCTAGTAAGCGACACCTGGCTGCTGGCTCCACGTGTGTTGGTGCTGGGTCATGTACGCCTCCTTTCGCCTTGGTTAGGCACTATGACGTTGTCTACACAGCTTAATGCTCGTCGTGCGCTGTGCAACGGCCTAGTAAGCGGCAAACCAACTTCATTGTGAGTTGTCAGCCCTGGCTGCTGGCTCCACAAGTAAAGTTGGGCTTGTCCACCACGGCCTCATACCTTTTTCGTCTGTTACCGTTCGAATGACAATGAACGGCAATGCTAGCATGTATGAGTTATGCAAGAATGGGCAACCGTGAGCGAGAGCGAGAACAAGAGGTCGTGAGCGGTGCCTCTACTAGTGGTAGATAGGTGCATAATGGTTCTGGATCGAAAACGTGGAATGGGGAGGCCCGGGAGGGACGTGAGTAATTTTTTCGTGATTGAGATCTTATGAACCTAAAGCTGAGTGTAACTTTGCCAACTGGTCAGTCCGTGGCGTCAGGTCAGTATAAGCGACCATCGATGGTGGCGTAAAAAAGTTCACAATGGCTACAACAGATACAGTATTTTCTTTTGAAGGAAAGGTACCATCGCCCGTGTAGCTCAGTGGTAGAGCATTGTACTTATGTGGTTATCGTTTATGCAAGGGTCTCGAGTTCAATCCTCGGCGTGGGCAATTTTAGTACTTCTTAAGCTGTTTTGGGCCCGTCGACGGTGAGAGTTCCATTTTTCCTTCCGCGGAAGAGATCGCTTGTTAAATTCATCAGAGGCAACGCTTTGAGCTTACTATTTGGCAGCCTGTCTCTCCCCGGCCCATCAATTGAACCCGGCCACAATCTCGAGCTCTAAAAACTGTCAGTAACTTACAGCATTCTCTCATGCATCAGGAAAATCACAAGACTCCTTTTCGAAACTTTCGTCGCTTACGCAAGTGACAAAAGTTTCGAAAAGGCATAAG